TTTTAAATTTTTATTTTAAAAGATGGCTTCGTGCCCCTTAAGTTACCGGGACTTTCGAGAAACGGGCCCCTGGGAAGGTATAAACAATTTCTTAGGTCGCAAACGTAAAGTTATCAAACATATCGCCTCGCTCAAACGCCTGGGATCTGATCAAATTTTACACAATTCCTCAGAACTTCCTGACATTATAATTGAGTATTTTTCCTCAGTTGGTCATAACCTAGCTTCCAATATGCCAAACTCGCAGAAGGAATTTTTTGATTATCTTCCAAAATCACGTAATGCTGATTCTTTCTTTTTCGATCCAGTAACATACACTGAAATTGAGTGTGAAATTATGAACCTTCCACTAAACAAGGCTCATGGGTTGTATTCTTTCCCCACTCGTGTCCTGCGATCAGCAAGACATATACTTAGCCACCCCCTATCTGTACCATAGTTAGTACTAACTAACAAGTCGGTTGAACATGGAACATATCCCTCTAAACTAAAGCTTGCTAAAGTTATCCCCATACACAAAAGTAATGATGAATCTGACCAATCCAACTACAGACCCATATCACTACTTTCAGTCTTCAACCGAATCTTCGAAAAAATGATGTATACTCGCTTGAAATCATTTCTTGAAAAGTTCAGTGTTCTTTATGATTCACAATACGGATTTCGTGAAAAGCGGTCCACTGAACATGCTATTTTGGAAATTACCAATCAAATTCAAACTAATATGGATAGAAAGCTGTACACCTGTGGAATATTTATTGATTTACAAAAAGCTTTTGATACAGTCGACCACTCAATACTTTTAAAGAAACTTGAACATTGTGGTATACGAGGGATTGTGAATGACTGGTTTACCTCCTACCTTACTAGTCGTAAGCAAATAACTGAAATTGGCTCCTTGAATATATCTAGGAAAGCGACAGTATTATCCGGGGTTCCCCAAGGATCAGTCCTAGGGCTTCTGCTCTTCCTTGTTTATATAAATTTTATTCGTAACAGCTGTAACCGAATGAAGTTTTATCTATTCGCAGACGATACGAATCTTTTATATGCAGATAAAAACTTAACATCCCTGGAATCTACAGTAAAAGATGAGCTCTGTAGGCTTTATGACTGGTTAATAGCAAACAAATTAACTCTAAACATTAAAAAATCTAATTACGTTATTTTTCGACCAAGACAAAAAAATGTCAAATACGAAGTTAATTTAAAAATATTCAATCATCATTCCAACTCTTACACGTCTTTGGAACGTAAAAGTTATGTTAAATATTTAGGCGTGCCTATTGACGAGAACCTCTCCTGGAAACAACATATTTTACACATAGCCTCTAAAATAAGCACAATGACTGGTATTATTGCTAGGCTAAGACATCTCGTACCACTTAATTCTTTACAACATATATACAGATCACTCAACCCAATTTATTGTATGGTATAACAGCGTGGGACCGAGCAGACACAACTCACAGAAACAAAATCCTACGTCTTCAGAAACGTGCCCTTCGCCTCATGTTCTTCTGTGATTATAAAACTCACGCAGTACCCTTCTTCATTTCTTCCAGTCTACTGCCTCTAGATCTTCTTGCCATCTTAATTAATGTATGACGTCTCAAATAACACATCGCCACCTCAAATAAGTAATTTATCTAATGACCAAAATAATACTCATTCACACAGCACAAGACATCAACAAGAGGCAACTTTTTTCTTGGATACTCTAGATTAGACAAGCAAAACATGTCTTTTTCAAGAAACGGTGTTAGAATCTGGAATAACCTATCTAATGAAATTCGTCAAATGCCGAAAGCGAAATTTAAACACAACACTCACAAGTGATCCTTCAGAACCTCTCGGAGGCAAATGAGTATATTGATCTACTGGACTTGAATATGCCGTAAAAATTGAACTAATCTGCGTTATCCTTCCAGCTTCTAATGTAATCAGTTTAATTCTCCTGTGAAAATTTATTATTGCAGCCAGCTGAGGACGTAGGCCCCAGCTGACTGCTGTATTTCTCATAATGCCATGTGCCGAAGTAGTTATCTATTATAATTATTGATCCCCATGAAATCCTACTGTTCTGTGTCTGTGTTTGATCTTCGATTTTAGTCGCACCTATGTGTGATAATTGTGATGCTCATTGCTATTGCAGGTCGTTGTTATAGTTGTTCAAAACAGTTCCAGTGAAGCGGCTGCTTCTTGATTTACAAGATCCCTTGGTTGTTCTGGGGCTGGTTTCGCCTCCGTGGCACGAGGTTGACTCTGGTTGGGTGTTGGTTCACTATGTGAAGGAACGTGTCCTACTGTGGTGACAGGCGTTTCAGTTGGCGAATATGCTGCTAAAGACTGAGGCACATTCACTTCCCAATCCTCTGATTGTTCCTGCTTATGGGGTTGAATCTTCGTTCCGGAGAGGTCTTTCAACTGATCGATATGTCGTTTCCAAAATAACTATTTTACCTGTACGCGATAAGTCACAGGTCCTAACTTGGCAACTACCACTCCCTTGACCCAAGAATCTTGACTCTTCCTGTAGTCTTGTACCAAGACTGGGTCTCCTACAGTAAGCTGTCTCTTGGGCGCAGTAGGTTGTAACTTGGAGGGTTTAGATACTTTCTTTCGAAGATCTGGTCGTAAAAGATCTAGACGTGTCCGTAGTCTTCGGTTCATCAGCAATTCAGCGGGCGTACATCTTGTTGCCGTGTGCGGTGTAGTGCGATAGCTCAATAAGAATGAACAAATCTTCTGTGATATGGTACCNNTTGGATAAAGGCTGATAGTTTCGAAAGAAACTGTTTGGGGCTGCGTCGGTGGGAGTAACGAAATAATTTGGATATATCAACAAAGTTGAAGTGGTAAATTGGCCACCGTAACGATTACAAAAGCTGACGTTTCGAGCGTTAGCCCTTCGTCGGCTAACGCTCGAAACGTCAGCTTTTGTAATCGTTACGGTGGCCAATTTACCACTTCAACTTTGTTGATATATCCAAATTATTTCGTTACTCCCACCGACGCAGCCCCAAACAGTTTCTTTCGAAACTATCAGCCTTTATCCAAGAAACGTCTGGTCATCGGTCTTCCGATGGTGTCAGAGCATATAAATGTACCTCAGCAGCACTCAAAAGGGAAGCGAGCGAAATTTTGCAGGGTCCTCTTTCAAAAAAGGGTGTGATTGATGTAGAGAAAAAGGAAGAAAACGGTGCTGGGGAATATTATACTGCACGAGAGGTTAAAGTAGTAAGTCCGGAAAAATGTGATCAAAAGGGTAGTAATCAGTCGGTAGTTGTTAGCACTAATTCTACTAGAATTATTTCCTATAAATAAACTGATGAATATAATACTTCTTAATGCAATAGAGGTTTTGCACAGCAGCCATGTTGGATGGCAGGAACAATAGATTATTTTACCCGTGGGAAAATAATTTCTTTCTTATGCAAAATGTTTTCATTGCTCCTGCCATCCAACATGGCTGCTGTGCAAAACCTCTATAGATTGTGCTCCATACTATCAGTCTCCTTGATTGTATTTGTTTTCAGTGTTTAAAAGTTTTAGTTGATTAAAGTGGCACTTCGAAACAAAACATTAAGTTGCAATGAACGAGAGTTAAACGCAAACGGTAATGTTGACAATGTGGTAAGCTATCAGTTTTGGTGCGCTTTATACATTAAATTTCTTAAAACAAGCTGCAATATTTTTAATAATTGTAACCTGCACACTGCAATATTTTTTAATTTTGCAGCCTGGACACTGCAATATTTTTAATGTTGCAGCATGCTTATTTAGCGCGTTCAAATTATATTACCCCTGATAATTTCCCTGCTAACAAAAAGGACCGCCTCCGTTTTCCTCATACAGTTGTTTTGTCATCTTAAAGACTACAATCGTTGATTTAATGCAGAGAGAGAACAGTAGGATTTCATGGGGATCAGTAATAATTTCGCGTTAGTGAAGTTCATGAAAGTGCTAGTGAACGTATATTTGCCCTATAGTTTCAACTGTTGACGTGAATGAATGCATATTTTGCGTAAATGAAAAGCAAATGGTGTAATAACAAGAACAACTCTCAAAAAATAATTTGGCGCGAATTGGATCGCACTGTTTGTTTTGTGTTGGTCTGAGCTCTTTAATTAAAAACCTTTCCAAAAATAAAACAGTCAAATTTGTTCTGACACTTTCTTAAGATTCTAAAACTTTGTGCGTTGTCGTCTGGCTCCACATCATGTCGCTCTCTGAGGTGGTTTCCAATTGCTGATCCTTTGGGTTCATCAATTCATTGGCAAAGGTGTCTGCACATGTAGCCGACATGGCTTGCATCGCACAGGCCACACTGAAATGGATACACCACGCATTGCTGACTCACAAGAGGCGGCTTGTCTTCCCTGACCTTTATTTCATTCTTTATCCTTTCTACTTGTCTAAACCGGGCTAATATCTGCATTGATCTTCCAACTGAGGTCAGCAAGTTGTCTGTGTACTACATTCCCATATTTCTGATCTTTGAAGGGCAACACGATTCTGATTGGGGCTTCTCTTTAACAAATGGTAAACACCACAGCGTACACTATTGAGTTATGGATGCACGCGGGAGGTTGCTAAGCACGAAAGAAGCGTAAGAGTCGCTCGAGGCGATAGCCGAGAGCGACTCTAGCTTCTTGAGTGCTTAGCAAACCTCCCAAGTGCATCCATAACTCAATAGTGTACGCTGTGGTGTTTACCATTTGTTTTATAACATAACATTGATACATTGTAGCTAAAGAGTTCCCTTTTATTTAACAAATCTTACGTGACCAGAAAAAACAAGCGCGCGCGGAAAAATAGTCTTTGCATTTGCTCACGTCAGCAGCGTACACCCATGGGCAAATGGGGGACGCTAAATTGACCAATCAGAGCGCGCGCTTTACTTTGGTTATGTTATAATTACACTTGGGTACGTGAATCCTCTGACCTAAGAAATGACCTGGAAGAAAAAATCCAATCACTACTTGAATCTATTTACAAAGCTGTGTCACTTGTCTTTATCAACAGCATTCCTTCAACTGATGCTGGCTGATTGCTGTCGACTCGGCATTAAAATGATTTACAACGCTTCATCTCACGACGATGCAGACCTGTATTTTCCAGTTATTGTTAATCTTGAGGCTGATCGCCTTGTGAGCAGTCAAAAGAACCTTGTTCCCTTATTGCCACAAACTGGGATAGCGTTCCTGGTTTTAGAAGGAAGCAAAAGTGATCACACGTGGCGAATTGTGAAGTCGCTCTTCGCCACTTGGCCAGTCTTAATCCTTATACTTGTCTTGTCACTCCTCGCGGGGATTGCTGCCTGGTCACTGGTATGTTTATTAATATTCTTTGCGTTTATCATTGCCATTCTGACAAGAATTTAATAAACAATATCGGAATAACTATATTTTGGGATGTACGAATATGAGAACAAATCATGTTACACAAACCACTTTTATGAATTAGAAAAAACTAATGAGCGCGTGAGCCCATGGCGATTCTTGCGCAGGTTTCAGCTTTTTCGATCGCAAAACAGCATTTCACTTCAAAAGATAACGCGTAATCAGTCGACTTTATCGCCTGCTGAAGACGAGGATTATGTAGTCAGAAGTCAGAACTTCAGAAGTTTCTTAAGTTGCTGACTTATGTCGCCAGACAAACTACTTTACCAAGTAAATTGGGTTGATAATGTAAATTGGCCACCGTAAAGGGTTTCAAAGCTGACGTTTCGAGCGTTTGCCCTTCGTCATAGCAAACAGAAGAATTGTGGATTGTACGTGCGTTTATATGTATATGCACAAAATGGAGCTACGCTATTGGTGAGAACATGGCGACGAGAAAAACAAGAATAAATTAGAAGAATTAAAAGCGTTCGTAGATAACATTGAAAGATAAACTTTTGTTCAAAAACTTTGCGGCTTTCCGAACTACCTAAATGTAGGGAAAGGCCGCAGACCGCCATAAGACGCTTGCAATGATTAGACAGATTTAAGTGTCTAGCCGAACTGGTTTGGATGCGTTCTTATCATTCCTTTCTACGTCACGAAGGTGTTCTCGCACGTTATGCAATGGATGACATTGCCGGAATTGCACGTCAAGTGATCGGTAATCTTAATTGATCGTTTGGGTCCGGATATTTTCTCAACGTTGTGAATGACAGGACAAGTTTTTCAAGGGCTACCTCTCGAAACGTCAGCCTTGAAACCCTATACGGTGACCAATTTACATTATTAACTCAGTTGATAAAACCCAAATTACCTTGTTACCCCCACCGACGCAGTACCACAGTTTCTTTACAAACTTACCTCCTTTATTACTTTACTAAGTAGGTTATCTACCAGGAGCAGATATGAATGACACATTGCAGTTGAAAAGAAAAACATAACGACAACATGAAAGTTGCAATCTTTCTATCTGTCATTTTGGTTTTTTTTTCCCACACCAGGAGACCAGGAAGAACTCGGACAATTTTCCTCCCATGTTTACCAAAGGTGTCTGGGAAGGTTTCTGGTGGGCTTTTGTTTCCATGACAACTGTGGGGTGCGTATCTATAGAGGATATCACACCTTGGCGAGAAGATATTAATTTTATGTTCGAGTGGTAAGAATGATATTTAACGAGTAAGAACAGCAAACGAGTGGGATATTACTCTTGCCACGATAACATCAAATTCGTATCTTTGAGCTAATGCGTAATTAATTTTCTTTTCCGATTATATGGACAGTAAAGATACATGGTAGATTTTGAAAAGCTGGCTGGGTAACAGTAGAGACAGCATACCCGGCTGACTAACCGCTCTTCCTAAAGTAGCCGAAAGAATTGCTTGGTCAATTTAAATACTTGGCACAGAAAAATCGCCTAACTCGCCCTTAGAGTGGAAACCGGAAACTGCACTTGGCTGAAACCTTAATCTGTTAGTGACTGACCTTATTACATAGGTCGCAGCACCCGTGGGCAAGATGAAGCGAATCCCGAGTTCCGATTGGCTACCCGGACGGTAAGATGGGCCCATCTTGTCCGCTCGTGATTGCCCGCATTGACCTCGCGTATGAAAAAAATTGTTCGTTCTGGGACAATGTCGGCGATTGAAACGCAAAAAGCGGCAGAAGATAGTTTAAACGAAGAAAAGAGAACCGACTCTCCCTCTCCTGAGTTTGTTGTGCTACAAACACAATTGGCTTTCTTTCCCGGCTCTCGAACGAAACAAGTCATTCTTACTTCTTGATATATCGAAATCTTTTTGCAATATAATAAATCCTTTTTTAACCAAGTGTGTTTTGTGAATATGGCTGGACATTAGCCTCGTTCTTTTTTCGTATTTTTATGGACCTCGACTTCGTCTCGGTCCATAAAAATGCAAAAAATCGGTATCCAGCCATCTTGACCTCATGCTTGGTTAATAACGCATATGTATATATTATAGCCATGGACAACAAGCAAATGACTGATACGCTACCGATTGACTTAAGTAAGGCCTTTGATAGTCTAAGTTATTCGATCTTACTTAGCAAACTAAATCAGTCTTAGCACTTCAAACAAAGCTTTGCAGCTGTTCCGTAGTTATCTCACGAATGGAGAACAACACACCCGAGTGGGAATTTCATTGTTAAAGCCCCTTACGATAACTCATGGGGCACCTCAGGGCTCGATCCTGGGCCCGATGCTTTTTAGCTTGTCTGTAGACCACTCTCATAAATGGCTGCCGTATAGATATTCTTTTGTTTAAATTTAAATTAGCCCTTCTGGCCTCGCTTGAGATAATGTATTCTTTTGAATTTTGTACTGGAGAACGAGGCCAGTAGGGCTAATTTAAATTTAAACTAAAGAATATTAATTCGGCAGCCATTTATGAAAGTGGTCTACGAACGATTTTCCAGGAGTAAACAAATTTAGTAGTATTGTATCGTATGTGGACGACACGAAGATTTGTCTCTCATGTTCTGCACAGGATATCCACTTATGTTTGCATCAAGTATCTCGAGATCTCAAACTTGTTGCGAGATGCTGTTGTGCCGACCAGTTGCGGATAAATCCTGATAAGACAAAGCTTGTCTTGTTTGAAACCCACCAACTTGTCTCCAAGCTACCACACGTTCAGGTACCTTTCCTCTGACAAGAGAACTGTCTCCTGCCTCATCCCACAAAGATTTGGGGTCACTCTTGACTCAAACTTGACTTTCACTGAGTATATTTAATTTTTAGTTTTTGTCAAATAGGCAGGTTTAGACACTTGTTTACCAAAAATGTTCTTAACATAACCTTTAATTATTTTACATTTTAATAAATTATTTTACTGCTCAACTGTCTGGTCCGGTACATTCAAACCTAATATGAAGAAGTTACATGAAAGTCTTTGCCGCGCGCATATTGACAGACATCAGAAAGTACGATCACATTTCTCCAATAGTGCGTGAACTGGGCTGGCTAGCTGTACAAGAACAGTTGTGCTTGCACGACTCTGCCATGATTTACAAATGTCTGAATGGTCTGACACCCAGCTCAGAAGCGCACGAGTACAATACTAGTAATAGAGATTAACTAAGGCTTCCCACCTGGGTCGCACAGCGACTGCTCAGCGTTCGTTCTTCTACAGAGCTGTAGCGTCATGGAACAGTCTTACTGGCCAGACCATCGACCCAATGTTTCAAGAAGAAAGCTAAATTTGAAATAAGTTGGGCCTAGTTTAAATGGTCCAAAATGTATCTGCTTGAATTATGTCATTAACGCTATTACATTTATATGTTTTGATATATTTTAAATGTATATTCTTTACTATTCTTGCTATGTAAATTGATTTTTAAAAACCCTAATGAAGGTGATCAATAAAAATCATTGTATTGTGGGCTGGCAGGTATTTGATATGATGTAAAGATGATAGTGTAAAGAGTTTCTGGCATGAAACAAGTAGTGGTTGACCAGCCCTTATGTCAGCTCATCCGATGACTCGGATATTTTGGTTTTGTTTGTTTGCATGTTCCTTTGATTATATTCTTGATAATATTTGTTTTGACAATTAGAACAGCACATATAAAGTGCTGATCATTGTTCTGCCAAAGCTTCTCGAACATGCAAGATCTTATAACGAAAGCATTTCTATTTTTTGTCAAGCCTACAAATTATTACTAGATAGTAATTTTAAATCGTTCGTATTGCTGCGAAAGAGTTCAGAACAACGAGTGAAGAATGTTCACCTCACGTAAGCCTTTTGGATACGTGTGCTTATAATGATTAACGACTAAGAATTTATTATGATTTTCAACATTCATAGTTATGGAGATCGCTATCCAAAGTCAGTTGGAGGTCGCCTGTTTGCAGTACTATGGATTTTACTGGGAATGTGTATCATATCTATCTTTACTGCGACGTTGACTTCCTCCATGACAACTCTTTCGTTGGAGGCTAAAGTCAAATTATCCGGAACAAAGGTAGGAAAATGGTAACATCCTTCCATCCTAAACTTCTAGATAAAAGAAATGGCGGAAATGAGATCGATTCTTTCGTAAGGCTTTCATTATTCGACCTTGCGCAATTAATTCTGGGGACTAGGGAACTACAAACTGATTATTAAACATGTGTCACACAGATGACGAGAACTATATATTTTTTGAGTTATAGTTGTTCTGTGTCCTGTTCAACATGACGTCATTGCTGATAGTTGATCCGAGTGAACATGATGACTACTTAAGGGAAATTTCAAAGCCTACTATCAGACATGACAAAATATGTCTTTGAACCCAAAAGCGCTACACGTGAGTTTTGTGGGGAATTAATAAAATGTCTCTTGAAAATAACGAAGGGGCCTAGAGTGTAAGTAATACAGGGTTAAGTCTAATAAAAGGCCAAAAGTACAACAGTAATTGTCCACAGAGAAGCTTGAAGAGCAAACTTGGGACGAAAAACATCTTTAATGAGCAGTTTCATGGGGTTATCAAGGAGTAATCATCCCGAAATTGCGTAACGTTGGATTATATTTTAACAATTACCGTATACTGCATGACCTCTTCATTGGCGTTTCTATTTAGAAGTTACTGTGATGCAGTTTTTATCTGTTAATGGCCACTTAAGATTTTTAAATTTAATTCAAAGGTACGAATAACCGACTCTATACTAAACTTATTATTACAGATAAATGAGGTTAATTGATTCCTTCGTTCAAAAACCGCTATCATTCCCTCTGATCGAGCATGCTGACCACATGGCGGAAATTTCAAAGCAACGCAATACTTGTATGAATATTAATATTTCTTAAGCAATAAAAAATAATTTTTGCCAAATTCTTACAATTTCCTTTTTTTTTAATGGTCTCTTGTCATCAACCGACCAGGTAGTAGTTCTTGTTGGTTCCATTGAAATGGTAACGGGAATTCAACATCAGGCCAGTCTTACACGTAAGTACCTAATCGGTTACAACCTTTTTCTTTTTCTGTAACGTTGAATAACGAGTCGAATAATACAAAGGCGAGCTTTTAAACTGACCATGGGGCATTGACCTGATAAATAACTCATTTCTTCTTATTTCCTGGTTGATAATTATAGTTATTTTGTTTTCATAGGTGTGAGAACAGTTGGTGATATTTATGAACATTTGGAGAGTGGTAAATATGAAGGTGATTTGTAGCCTTACATTGATCTCGGATCGATTTTTTCAGCTTTTTTTACTACCATGTATACTTCTTGATATGATATTATCAAAGAGCACTTTGTACGTGAGAAAACAAAAAGTTTTTGTGTCCCGAGTTTGGGACGGAGGAAGAAAACTGAGCTTCTGGAGGATCGGAGGACTAAAAGAGTTTCCTTCCTATTTTTCAACACCTATTTTGGATGTAGTAACACAACAATATATTTCACGTGTCAAGTGATTTAAAGAAATTGCAGGAAAAGAAGCATGATAAATGCAGGCTGTGACGGGATTCGAACTCGCTGCAAATAAAGAAATTGCAGGAACTGTACTGACACCACTTCTCGCAGTTTCTTTAATCATAGCTCACCTCCTAGGATCATTTCTTTACCTACATACTGACAGCAGGTCAAAATATTATTTAAATTGATAATGATAATGAATTATTCTGTGACAGGGGCTCTGATGGATAGTTACCTCTTAGCACATTACAAAAGAAACAATCCGCCAAGTACCCGGAAACTAAAGGTTCAAGAAGTTTTTCAACAGAAGTATTTGGAATACGGTGTACGCGTGAAAGATCCAAAGTTGGCCGAGTGTCTTCGCGAAAAGAGGTTCACTCAGGAAGCAGAATGGTATGAGCACGCAGAAATACTTCTACAGCAATCTCTATTGGTAAATATTGTTCAATAAACATATAAATGCAGACCCATTTATCATTTATCATGTTTTGGCAACGAAAGATGTGTGCCGACTTTTCCGTAGCTTTCGTTTATAGTGACTGTACCGGTTAATGCACCATGTAAGTTTGTAAGTTTCAATTCCCTGCATGGCCTGCGCAGTGAAGATGCTTTTTGTACTATAGGTTCATTTATAGATTTATTCTGTAAGCAAAACTAGTTCCTAAACATACTTTGTTTATTGTTATTTAAAAATTGATTAAAGTAGATAAATTCCCCGATGTTTCAAAAATTAGTTGCAGCTATTTCTCTATCGTAACAGACCTTTAGTTAATAATGACTATTATTAAATATGCAATTTTATAGGAAAGTTTATTAGTTGACGAGGGAATTCCGCATCAAATTACACGCGAAAACCGATATCGCACAAATCGCGAAGCGATGAGTGTGATATCGATTTTCGCGTGCAATTTAATGCGGAATTCCCACGTCAAGTGATGGATTTTACTTGAATCGCACATTTGAATAAAAACAAGAAAAAAAGAAAACAGCATTGCTTATTGATATTATGTATACATAGATGCGAAACAATATCACTTAGCCTTGTTTTCAACTCGCAATTCCACGCTAAGTACCTCGCTACGTTAACCAATCAGAATCCGAGATTTTATTCAGTGATGCGATTCTATTAAATTATTAAATTATTATTATATGCAAGATTCGTCCTATATCGTAACCATAATACTGTTAACTTCTTTACTTCTGAGGGTGAATTTGAAAACAAGAACGAGAACAATGTCAGCTTATTCGACCCTGACGGTGTCCTGTATTTTCCGTTTCTCTTTACATGCGTGGGAGTGGCTGCCCTGTTATTATTGACCGGTGGAGCCTGGGACTTGTGTCGCAAAATCAATCACCGATTAAAGAAAAAAGGTATGACTCTTTGCAATGAGCCCAGACAGTCTAAGTAAGCTTCATCAAAAAATATCATTCCGTCGTATGCAGTATCATTTTTATTATTTAAATATTTAAGCGATAAAACACATTTTTCCGGGCTCTATAATGTGATGAAGCCACGCGGGATGTTGAGAGAAGGTGAGGCCACGAACCGAAGGCAAGTGATTTCTGAGCTTTCCGGGTGTTCTCCCAACATCCCACGTGACTTTATCACGGCGGCCTTTATTCCGGGGGACGTTCCAAAAAAAATGCGCTCTATTGCTTTTATGACCTAACTAGTTACATGCGGGCTTTATAACGTGATAAGGCATCCACTTGGAAACTGAATCAGCAGACAATGCCTACTTTGCTGATTATTTTATAACAGATGTTAGGAGGATCATTCATTTTATTCTAAGAAATTTTAGGAATTTTTTCATTCAATATGAATTTGAATTTTTAAACCAATCCCGTTCATTACCTACCAAAACCTTGTGTCACTGAGACTTATGATCCAAATAAATGCCTTCCATTAGAAGGTCTTAGAAACAAACAGCGAAAAAATAGGGAGAGAAAGTTTCTCGTAAAAAGGTAGTGCTTTAACCAGCACATCTATGCAATCCTACTTATTAGGTTTGACTAAACCTATACATGTATTTTATCTACACAGTGGAACCTCGATTTAACGAACCTCTATTTAACGAAGTCCTCGGTATAACGAACGATACTTCAATTTCAGCCCGGCTAAAGTTACAGTAAAATGTATGCCACAGAACTTCGATACAACGAACCCTGGATATAACGAACCAATTTCCCCAGACCCTTACCACTTCGTTAAATCAAGGTTCAACTATAAAGTTATTCTCATTAGCGACCTTCAAAAAACTTTACATTTAATCGGAACATAAAATTGATTTTTTTTAATGCACAGGATTGAAATGGATAAAACATTATATAAACACATGGCTATAGAAGTTGTTGTTTGCCGATCTCAGCTAACAACAGCCATTGCCTCCTACAGGACGAAAGGACAATTTTCCTATTTCGTTGGCTAGAGCTAGTCTGATCACGGACTGCATAAACCAAGACAAGATGCATGATCTTGAGAAGAAGATTGAGGATCTAAATAAAACTTTCAAAAGTATCAAGAATGGAGCAATCGTCGTATCTCCTCGTTATAACAAGGAAGCGAATGAAGTAATATGACGTTTGATAACAAGCCTTCCATAGCAGAGTTTCATAGGAGGAGTATGGAAGATAACAATAGAACATAAAATTGATTGGCTCATGAAAATGCAGTAGAATGGAATCAAGTCTTAGAGAGTAATCATATTCATGAAAATCATGATATTACATGACCAAAAGAGCACTACTAGCATATTCACTAAAATATTAACTAGCATATCAATTAAAAGAGCATTACTGTAAGTCAATTAATGTTCCAACACAGGTAACTGATTTATCCATCCGTAATATCAAGTTTATTCAATGACCGTAACATTATCTGACGGTACTGCTAACAAGCGTGCCACATTTTGCGTGAGCTGCTCGCAAAAGTCCACGAGCGATGATGTTGTACTATCATGCAGTTCCGATTAGATTATGACTTGCTATTTCTTTCTTGTGGCAGATGATGAGGGCGGAACCTGAATCACTTATATAGAGATCGAGATTACATAAGACATAGACATTTATTTACTTCATTTATTTATTTCATTTATTTACATAGACATCGAGATTACATAATCTTATTATTCTAGTATAGATGTACTAGTCGTTCAAAACTTAACTTGAAGCAAGACAGGCTCGTGTCGATATTTAATATTGTGTTTTTTACACGCGCATACTCTGTCGGGGTACTCCCACTATTCACTGTTAATCGTGGAATAGATTGTAAGTAGCATAGCCAATCAGATTGCAGTAGTTATGATAGAACGCCGGTAGATTTATGCTAAAAAATAAAAGGGTAAGAAGTAAAAGAAACCATTGCCAGGCAAAGTTGATTGTGTCATGACTCTTACATGAATGACGCTGAGAGGAAAAAAATACAAAAACAGTCAATGATGTAGACGTACGGCAAAAACTTGACAATTTATATATTAAGGGACTAAAACAAATTTCATTTACTTTCTGACAGCTGATAGGGCTTATGCTTTCTTCGTTTGTTTGTTTGCTTTACTCACTTGACTTGTGACCTACTCACTCCTCATATAAACTGCTTCTTTTCATTCTGCTTGAGAATACAGTGAAAAAATAGTTGATAAATTTCGTACAAGTGCTTCACTACAGCTCAGTTGAGTTCATTGTAAAGTGAGTTGATGCACACGCTGGTACTAGCATGCTGCACACGGTATTGCACATGTACTTGAGTGAGTTTTCAATTTTATACTATTAGCTGTGGGAAGGCATTGACGGAAAAGCGTAGCGTACTTCCCTAGCAAATGACTGCGGAGCTTGTCGCGAACTCTAAAACAGCCCTACAGGATAACAAAATCTATTTGCGAACATGCGAGGTACCAATTCTATAAAAAAAAATAACAATGAAAAACAACAGATAAAAACAGTGAAACAGTTTAGCGGCACATTGACAACTATCTGCAAGTAAGTGGATATATATTTAAATAAATAGGATAAAAATCCAAAACTAGAGTATTTGTTTAACTCGAAGTTCGAGTCGATAAGGTTCTAAAATTTAACGCGGTAACTTTGGCGGTAGTCGTTTCAGACTTTAGCTCAGTGGGTGGTACACCTTTAAAAAAAACATCTGCCGAACATATTGGTAATAACGTTTCCCGCGGAGTGCGGAATACACTTTAATAAACTCAGACCAACTTTAAAAAACGCTTGCTCTACGTTTGTTACCAGTTGTCATAGCCTCGAGAAAAACAGGAAATTCTACTAAACTTAAGGGTTTGTTGTCCTTAATTATCTCCTCCACCTGTCGCGCAGACTATATTCTGCCCACTCATTACCGGTGCAGTCTCTAAAAACGGACGCTGCTGAACATTATAGGGAAAATCAAAAAAAACCGGTTGAGAATTTTTATGCGGCAGAGGAATTTTGAACCAGAGCAGAAACTGAGTAAGTTTAAACACCTCTAATTCATTCATCTGTTCTATTAACATTTTGCGAATTCTTCAGCTGTTATGTACTATAAAAGAACTATAATTTCCGCCACAATAAATTTAGTGAGAAGACGAATTTTTATTCCGGACTCAACGAATTTTAAATAACATTTACTGCATTAACCAAAAAATTATGGCAGACAGAAACGAACGAAACCTTAAGTCTCTCTCGCCTGGATGGATAGTTATTTCTCTCGTTCTCTTGATTTCGTGCAGAAAACTGAGAAAATCGAAAAGCAGTATAAACTTCATTAGCACATTTCACAAAATAGCCTTCTTGGCTTCGCGTTTTCGGCGAAAGCTGTCATTGTGATACATGTAGTCCGTTATCCGCTTTAAAAACCATTAACTTCAGAGGAAGGATGGTTAACAGCCCTAAAATGTCTTCTTGTATCATTTGTAATTTTCACACAAAGCTAACGAGGAAAGAGGAGAACGGATGGAAAAAATAACCTTGAAGAGGAAAAGCTAAATAAAGTCTGTAATTCATGCCAACTGAAACTAGATCTTTGAGGAACGATAATTCAGTCGGCTCTCTTCAATTTCTCAGAATATGCCTTATCTTGTACTTTCAGTTTTTAGTGACTCAGGTGAGTTCGTTGATTTGATACGAGTCTTACTGCGGAAGCACCACGAAAGCCGTGTCCGTTGTGTTAATTAGCGCTTCATTATACACCACAGACAAATAGCTGTTTAATAAAATCCAAGCGGTGTAAACTGAAGTTAGTGTCTTCCATAGCCGTTTTTCATGGGCTTACATAGAGGACTCATCTGTCAAATGCAAAGATATCTCGACCTCTGTTAGTTAAGTTTAGCGAACGCCTCCCCCTTTGATCCAAGATAAAGGCTGATCAAAAAGGGAGTTATAGGAAACTTTCTGGACCGTTTTCTTTTCCTGTCGGCGAGGTGAATGAGCTAAATTTGCGAAGGGACGCGTTTTTATATCTGCAAGCATTGACTCATTTGATGAGGTAAAAGTTTGAGTATATAATTGCAATGTATTGATTTTACTATTAGCTGGTTACGAATAGGGGAATAATTGAGAGAGCAACAAATAAATCTCGGTTTTTATGTACAAAACTAAACTAACAAGTCCTAATTCAACTAAAGGAGATGGTTTTACCGATAAAAAAAATTATTAATCAGTGCAACTGCGTTGTTCTTTCACTACTAGAGCAGTTTGTGAACACTTTTTTCCCCTTGATGTAAGAGTATCCTTCCTCGTTGTCAAATCTTCGTTAAGCCGATAATCTACACCTCAGTCTTTTCAATCTCTGTTTCTCAAAGAGAGCATTGAGCCAAAAAAACATTCACTTTCTTCAAGGTCAGTCACTTTGTTAAGGTTGGATACACTTTCATTTTTTTCTAAGAGGAAGCTTTCCCTGTACTGTATTATGCCTAAGCTTTTATGAATTTTGGAATCATTCAGTCTTACGTAGTGACAGTAATCTCGTGTGTGGGAAATTAACGTCTCCTACCCCAACCCTGCAGGAGACGGGACGTCCATTTATTTGTCCCATCCGAGAAGACTAGAATATCTAACCATTTCTTGATGTTATAGAAAGGTAGCAAATTCTTCCCAATTATTTTAAGACCTTGAGTGTTGGTCCGGCCGGGGCTCGAACCCTCGACCTCCCGCACAACAGTCCAGCGCTCTATCCATTGAGTTAACCGGGAGGCGGTTGTGTTGGATGAAAGGAAAAATTGTGCTTCACAAATAATGTTCTTGTTTTGAAGTACGTACGTTCCTTTCCTGAAAAAGCTTCCACAGCTATATAGGATTCTTTCAACGCAAGAGCATGCACAGCCGAAGGACGGTTGGCAATCCATTAGCTTGAAGTTTAGGGAATGTAGCCACCGTGAGGCTAGGTTTTAGACTGGAATTTCTCCTAGAACTTACGGATATCATGTCGCACGGATATATCTATCGTTTCCTTAAGGTGGTGCATGTATGCATCCCTTCTAAAACCAAGATCAGTCCAGAAGAGTGTTTGTTGGTAGTACCTGCTAAAGATGAGGGAAGGACATAAGATATACAAATACACTTAATCACATCCATTTTGAAATCGCAAACTGCAATTGCTCAAACACAGAATTTTAGACAGCACAAATATCTTATTTTCGTTATTAAATCGGTGACAAAAGTAATTCTTCAATTTTTTATGAAAAAAATTAAAAAAAATTGAAAGGCAAAAGCTACAAATTTGCCACACAGTGGTTTCTTTGTCTTTCCTTTTTTTTTTCGCAATTGGAAGAAGCCTTGAAATCTGATTGGTTGCTATGTTTTTAGTGTTGGCTAAGAAAAAGATCTGATTTAAAGCAAAAACTATGTGCAATACGTCAATGGATCGCACATTTCGGAGCCAATCATATCGCAAGGATGACCAGTAATTTCAACATGGTTGTTAATCATATTGCAAGGACGACCAGTAATTTCAACATGGTTGCTGTGTAGAGTTCTGGCCACCACAATTTTTCATCGCTGTTGGGGTCCTATCATCCTGGGTCCATAACGATACAGTACTAGTTCAGGTTCCAACAACCTCTACAACGTTCACGGTCCACAACTCAAATGATACTCTATATCAGAGAAATCTGTTAGTCTTACTCAAAACAAATAATCACTGCTGTGGAAAGTGGTGCGCACACGTTCCATATAAACTGACGACCCTTTTGAATCAGACCATAAGCTCAAGAAATGATTATGATGTCGTGAGTGTACAGGGCTGCTTTGATTAAAATTTGACCCACAGACATGTGGTGCGAAATTTCTGTCGCCCACAACTTGTCGAAGAGATCTATCTCCTATTTGCACCATCTTATCTCTGTCTTCAGCACCGTTCAATCTGTAATATAAGTCAATTAAAAAGCAGGTGTTGCTAACCGCTGCTGGTATTATTGTGTATTTTGTATTAACGTAAGGTGTTATTTATTAATGGCCTCGTAGATTGTCGTCTGTGAAAGGGAAAATTTTCGTTTGTCCTCTGTTGCACACCTAGCCGGACGCCATCACTCTCGCATTTCATTGTTCCCAAGAATTTTTTTTACATCATTTTTCTTAAGTCGCCTACCCTACTTTTCATTGCTGTTTTCTCATTTTATTCAAGAAACTTTGCATACCGAAAAATGCCGCCGATTGCGATCACTTGTCAAAACATCAAGGTAAGTTTAAAGACTACCTTATACGTTTGAGTCGAAAATGTTTCTTCATGCATGGTTGAGCCGTTCGATGGTACCGTCCAAGTACAAATATTTTACTTTTATCACTGTCCCCACTGCTAAAATCCGCGAGATTAAACCGAGTATAGGCCTTCCTAAAGAAAAGCAGGGTGAAGGAAAATCATCCCATGGACTGAAAAATATATTTTTATATCATGATAATTCCCCATCCTTCATCGAATTTGAATACCCACGTTAATTTCTTTAGACCCACAACAAGATTTCTTTAAGAAGATAAGATTTTCTTCGTCGTAGTAATAATCTTTGTCTGAGCCAAAAACCTCTTGTTTTTCGTCAGTTGACTGAAAACGAATCGAATAATTTTACTTTTCTCGATAGCTTTGTCGCATTTCTATATTAGAAATGGGCTGATCAGTGTTAAAGAAGAGCAAAGCTCTTTCCTCTAATATTTCAATAATTAAACTCTTGTTTTCCTTGCTCAGTAATAGCTATTTCGAAAGAGTACTTAGCAGTTCATGTTGTTACCAACCATTGTTTGGGTTGAAGGTTTTCAATCGAGATACAAGTGTTTTGATTGGAGGAAATGTACCAATATATTACTTGCCATATGTAACTTATTTCACTGGAGAGAGATGTAACTGGAGCACAACACAAACACTACCGCAGTTCCTTTAGAACTTACCCTCTTTACTTATCCTACCTGAGAGGTTTCGGCATTAGCCGCCAGAGGAAACATCGCCAGGAAAGTGAGTAACAGACTGTGATTGACAAATCTAGCAAAGCACTTTTCATATTATTTTTAATAAGTTAACTGAAAATGATCTCTAATACTTTCGGCTTCTTTGTTCAACCGAAAGCATACTGATGCTACGAGTTACATTTTGATTTAAAGCAGGGGATGTGTTGGTGAAATAGGATCCCAGATGCGTGATCTAAGGATATTTTTGTTATTTCGATGATACCAGAAACTAAAACAAACCAAGTACCCATTAAAAAGCTTTGAATATGCAATCGGGCGGAACTCCGAAGCAGGAGTATATTTACTGTTTTCTTTTAACGATAACAGTAAATCTACAATTTATGCGCCTAGATTACTTTTCACAATTGTAGTATCCTACGAGAATATTGTTTTCTCCATCGATTTATTGATTTCATCTTCCAATTACAACAAAATTTATGTGGGGTTCTATTTCAGTTTTGGGAAGCATGTAGTCAACCAAATCAAACTTTTTTTCTTTCTCATTTTTCCCACAATCCCATCTCTCAGTTCACTTTATGCAACTCACTCACTATAAAAGGAAAATTTTCTTAAACCCTTGATTAAAATTGCTTCTCGACATTTTTAATTTCTTTTATTTTCATTCCCTTGAGATCCCGAACACCGATAACACCGTTTGTTGTCCTTTTACCATTATGCGTCAACGTTGAAAACGAAAAAATCAGCTTCATTAATGCGACATCTTTAAAATAAACGGACTCGAGTTGATGGAACAACCGTTAGTTTCTCAGTGAAAACTTCTTCGGATTTATTCCGAAATCTCTGGTTTATTCGAGGAACGATGTGAGTCATACCGGAAATCTTCACGACAGATCAGTGTATTCAACACAGGCGAGGTGTAAAATTACTAGGTTTCAGATTAAAGTTCATGAAGTACTTCTTAAATAAGAACTGATTTAAGCAATAAAAACAGTGTGTTTATACTACAGCTTGAAATGATAAGTTTTATATCTTGAACAGCTACATGAAAGTAACATTTTCAATCAAAGTTTTTTTCCTAAATGCCTTAAACACATTTGTTGTTTGGAACTACATCACTGCAAACCGTCGGTTGCATTTCTCACTCTATCGATATTTCTCGACAAGCAAGAACGAGTTTTTTTCCAAGGGAAAGGCACGAAATGCAGTGTTAATATAGCGCACTCCTATTGTATCAGTTCTGCAATGCAACTGTGATAATAATGGGTTGCTAGAGCTGTTTCACTTTATCAAATGTACTTCTTCTATGGGTTCTAGAACTTTCAACTGATAGGTCAGATTGTACTTCTCATTTCTGAGGAAAATCATATTCGGAATAAAGTATTTAGAGCATTAGGGTTAGGACATTTGATGGATTAAGGACTTATGACCCCTTTAAGGCCAATAAGCAATACATTAACTTGAAGTCGTTCTTAGACTGTCACAGAATCTGGAAAGTGGCGGAATCGAGTACTCAGACCTGAATCGATATAATTGATTTCATATCACCTTTTACGCTGATTCCCAAACAGATGCAAATATGGCTGATGAATCAGCCAAGTTTGCCATCAGCCAGTTCAATTAGTACACTGCATATCCCTTGAGGCCTTCATTCTTTTATCAATTTCGTGTTGGGGTTTAATCCAAACACGCGCGAGTCTTGATCATAGCTTACAACAGTGATTTCTTTTTACTAAAGAAATAAATCACAGCTGGTAGGTGTCATAGTGTCTACACATTTTGCTAAATTAAAAAGCAATCAGTGTTCTCTCATTCAAATGAATTTAATGGACTGCATAATGTCGTTCTTCAAAGGATTTTATCAGTGATAAGCAGTACTATTATGCATCTTTATTCCACCTCAGTGTTGCTTCGTGAACAGACCGCTCCCCTGACAATCTACAGCTTGTAATTAAGAGATTGTCATAAATGGCCGCCAAAATACTGCAAGCAAAAGCAGGGGAGGTAATCAATTCTCAAGGCGCATTAAACGTAACATCGAGTCGTTAGTTGAGTTGATGACCGACGGAACCACTGGGATGCGGATAAGGGGAAGTTCGCCGTAACGCTTTGAACGATTTTCTTGTGGTGACTTTGCCGCAGCTTAATTTAAGCTCAGCGTTCAGATCGATATCATGAGTCATAAAGTTATAATTCGATCAATGACCAAAAAAATATGGACGTAACTATAAGCGACTTTATGCTATTCATTTCGTGATAAAATAAGTCACTAGGGGCTGGATGAGATCAATAATATCAAGGCGATTCTTCACAAGGGTAAAACACCTGCTGATAAAGCTTGTAGCTGTTCACTAAGAGTGGCAGTTTGTCCGCCAATATCGCCCAAGGCAGATATGATCAATAGCCTTTAAATCAAACTTGGTTTACACTGATCATACACTCTAAATGGACAATGGATTGATGTTTCCTTTATCAGGGAAGCGTCGGAGTATTTAAATATTTGGTTGCATGGAAATAAGATTTACTTTTGGAGGGAAGCTCAACAACTCAGTACCTTTTGTAAAGTTGAACACGATTCAACTGTTGGAGAATACAGGTGAGGAATTTCTTATTATCATTTTGCAAAATTACTTTGCCCTCACAGTGCTCTCGCTTGAGCATAAGCTAGGAATTGAGCCCGAATTTATTTTGTTTTATCCGTGAATGAAATAATTGTTGTAAGAGATGACTGTCCGCGACCACGAATGGTAAGAGTTAAACTGTCAATTATAACAAAGCGCTTAGCATCTGGATCACCTCAATCCTCAGGATTCGACCAGGCCTTGATACCCACTGGGAGAGTTAAGAGAAGTAAGTAAGTTTTCAAGACATCGCCACTTTCATCAACAACTGATAATAACCAGTTAATGTTAAAGTTGAGTTCATAGGTTTGTCGAAGTCTTCCGTTTGAATTGAACCCTTGCAATGAAATACATTAGTGATATTGGAGCTGAGGAGTCTTCAAATCAGATATATAATGCTTGATCAAAACTATCATCATCTGTTACAAATCTTCTTCGAAAGTCTGTTGCTTCTCAAAGCAACAACGACAAAAATACTTTCTTTCGGGAAAACTGTTTCAAACGAAAATTCGATGAAAGCAGTTCGCTAGCATGACCTGTACTTTCATTAGCAGATTCTGTGAAAAGATTGGGTAACCTATGGTTCAACTTCAATTTAATTTTTACGGATATCATGTTTTACTCAAAAAAAATTTCCGCTCTCGATTTCCTTTCACAAAAAGTAGACAAAGTGTTGTCAAAGATGCCGCCACTTATGATTGCGACTTTGATGTTAAGAGCGCGCTTCGAGCTTCAGGTGACATTTCCTGTCCAGTTGAAGATTACCACAGGATAATGGATTTTAAGCTGTCTCTCTGCTTTTTTTGCTGCTCTTGTCTGTAGTTAGTATTTGTTTCGAATCATATTAGGTCAATCTTGACAAAATATTTACGAAAATACTTTTAACATAGGATGATAACGAGATAAAGAGGCAGTTTTGCGAGGCTTTTAAAAGAATTTTGGTGACAAACTGCATCTTTGCATCTGAGAAGCAGCATTTTGGGGGAATGAAAGACGCACAGCTACTGAAGTAGTCAAATAAAAGTCGAAGTAACCATAATGTCTAATCAGAACATTAATAGCTATCAGAAGAAGTCATTGAGAGTTGAAACAATATATATACTTATAAAAGGCCTCAAGCATGTCAAGCGGAGTTAAAGGGTTGTGATTGGGTTGTAATTGAGAAGATCATGTCTTGAATTTGATTGGTCGAGAGCAGCGAAGTTCTTAGACCAATCATAAATCGGAATAAGACAAAGCAAATGAATGCGGGGTTATGCATAACACTCGGTAGAAAATTTCCCCAGCATGCTTTATCAGATTGTCTCGAGAGCTCGATGGGCGTAGCACTGAATTTATATGAAGTGCGGGTAAGTATTTTGTTTCTCCGAGGTCAAGTGTTAGGTGCATGACGCTATTAATCAACATAGCATTCTTTAATACTCAGAATAAATAAGGAGTCTGGTAAAAGATGACTCGAAGCAAAAGGGACTTATTTTCATAAGAACGAAAGAATAAAAAATCTTGTCACCGTTTTGGACAAAAAAGCTCTATTAGAAGTTGCATCACCTCTTGCTATAATCACTGGTACATTTGAAAAGACTAGGACTGTTAAAAAAATTGTACCGAGAAAATTCTTCGATGAATAGAAGGTAACCAGATAACGCTCTGAGTTTTGTAATTTCTTCCAGTCAATTAATTATTGGCGACTTTATAAAAGAACTATGTTTTGACAGGTGTTTTTGACAATTCGTCTATTACTTCAGTGACTTTTAGAAAAAATATACGACGTACCTCAATGAACATTTGACTTTTTTTTGCTCGGCTGTAAAGATTATTTTAAAAATATTTCGAGATGTTCAAGTTACATTTAGGAGCCTCTAAAATCTTAAATAAAATCGCAAGCATAATTTAGAGGCATTCAGCTGTCGTTTTTCATAACACGTCAATGAGATGTACATATCATAATTTCCAAAATTTAATTCAATGAGACAGCACCGGAGAAACTGTCCACCTAACCTTGTAAAAAACAAATCTGACAGAAGGGGGTAGGGGTCGTTCATCTGTACAGACGGGAACACCATCCGAGTGAAAATACTCTTAGAGGCTTGATGTGACGTTGGTCCTCTAGCCTTGCAGGTAAACATTCAGATACATTCTTTTACAAAAATTTCGTCGAGTCGACAAAAATTCGAGGCTGATGAGTTTGTAAATAGTGTATTTATAAAATGTTGGTATTCAGTGAGTGCCTGAAATTAGTAGCCCAATTATGCACAAATTCGAGCTTGTTTGTTCATCCTGAAACTAGCATTGCTTACGCAATGAATTTAATTTTTGTTTGTTTATCTCAAATGATTCGGCTGTTCCGAATGCAGATGCAGGACTATCGCAAATTTTGGCAGGTAAATGGTGTCTTATTGGCTCAAAAGCTGGATAGAGGAATCTTTCTGTACATTTTTGTTTTTTTTTCTTTAGTTCAACACTTAGACAGCAGGGTTGGTTTTCTATGTATTTTGTGACTCCTTTAACACGCGCTCATGACAATTACTTTAAAAACATATCTCTGTCTTCGATGACGAAGCTCAAAATTCAGCATCTTTCTTAACAGCTGCTTTCACTCAAGCGCTTTTGACATTACTTATCCCGAGTATGAAGGAAGTTTGTCACATAATGAACCTTTGATGAGCCTAACGCGCCAGCGAGTTCTGTCGGGTAGCTCAGTTGATACAACACCTAAAGGGGACTATGATTTATACTTGACTGCGGTTCGAATCCTCGCGAGGATTATCGTCTGTCCCAAACCGGTGACAGATCTTTTACGTCTTCATATAAATTGTAAACGGTGCTTTTGCAAGCTACTGGGCTAATTTCTATGGCTTGCATTATACCAGTCGTTTTCAAGTTGCACGTAAACATTTGCAGCATACATGTGTTTACGCGTCGCTGTCAAGATACAGGCAAGGCAGATTTCCTAATCCAAAAACACAGAAGAAAGAACGATCCATTCGAAGGCCCCCTTGCTAAACGCTACTCCAGTTGAAGAATTATTATCCTTGATAATCAATCAATGGATATCTTAATTTCAGTAAATGTTTATTTAAAAATACTGATGTTGATTTGTCTAGTCAGTAGAGAATACGTCGGTATTGTTTTTCTAAAGCGGGCATTTGTTTTTAATCATTTGAAGAACTTGTAGTTTTGCCTCTTTCCGTTAAGCAATGATTTTAAGGTTTGAAGAAGATGGGATATTTTATTCACGGTAAGGTCATTATCTCCAAGTGATTATCAGTCAAAAAGTTAGTAACTCGGAAAAAAATTGGATTCATTCCTTAAATGTTGATGCCATTTTAGCCAATAGTCTGCTGATACAAATGACAATTAACAATTTCAACCAGCTTTACCTAAAGTGAATAACACAGATGAGAAAACGAAAAACGCATTTTGTGACCACTTTACAACTGAAATGAATTTCTAATATGGCGAAGATGAATTTAAGAGCAGACTCTTTTGAATCTTGTTTGAGCTTGCATTAGCAGCACTTAAACGGGGTTCTAAACCAACAAATAAAGCGCAAGGTAAGGTAAATATTACTTTCTTTTAATACATGTGTGTTTACCCAGCAGTTATTAAAGTGCACTCCGTGTGTATACGCACGGGCAGTCCAAAGGTTACTCATTTGTAAAGCTAAAAACATTCGTCCTCGCTAACGCGCATGTGCAACCTAAATGAAGGTACGCCTCAAATTGAATTCGAAGCTAAATAAATCAATAGATCGCACTAGCGCCAAACACGAACTATGTGGGTTTTTCATAGCCACAATTTAAAGGTCAAGATTCGCTATTGTCAAAAATCTTTGTTTCCTTACTTTTTTTTGCTCTTTGGTTTATGACCTGAAAGAAAAATCATGTGAGGTCAACTTTTCCGGGAATAACATTTGATCGTCGCTTAATAGATATTATTTACCTCTGTAGTCTCTTCTAAATACTAGTTCCTCGATTTTTAATTGAGTTTTGTCAATATGGAAATCTGTGATTGAAATTAGCTACCGCAAACAAAAAACCGCGCAGTCCATGCTGCTGAGAGTCTCGCAAATTTCTTTGCAATCTCAACCTGGGTCGCCGCGTGATTTCAAAGCGTTGTCGAAAAGTTGTGGCACAAACTGAATGCCCACTTCCTTTTAAACCTCCTTCTGAAGCAAAAACGTGTTTCAAAGTTATCCTACGTTGTCGATGTTTTTGTTGATTGGATGTGTTAATATCGAATAAGATTTACTCTTTAATGTTTGTTAACGCCACAAATGAAAGTAATTCTAGATCTGGCACGCGGAGTGCAGCCCGCAGAGTAATGTCGCGACCAGCTTAAATAAAGTGTTGACATTTATTTTGATCTATTTTCAACGTAAACCTCTTCTCTCAAAAGTAATCCGATCTAACCACTCAAACCAATTTAACTTTAAATACTTTAGTGGCAAATATACGAATTTTCTATCACGGGCGCGTCAAAAAAATGTATTTTATTACAATTTTTGACGAAAAGTTTAAATTACATCCGGCCTCCTTACGGTGTCTTCACGAGATCACATGGAAACTGTCTATGATTCTTTTCCCCGAGTACATAAAAGAAGAACTTTGTCAACCTCATTACAGGACTGTTTACTTTGGTGTAATTACCGACTTTCGGTTTTTTTCCATGGAAGAAATAAGGCCAATAGAGTAAATAAGGAAGACAAACACAAAACAGATTGATCGCTTTAAGAACCTGCTAACACAAAAGCTTTCAAAATGATTTCCAGCCAGTGTTTGCGGATCATTTTGTTCCATAAAATCAGATGTTAATTTTCCAGTGATGTGTGTCATTGAAACCCTACTAGGGAAATACACTAAGTAACAAATCGTTTTCCAGCAGAGGGTGAGTGGTTTTAGAACAGAGCTTGTGTTCGTTTTGATTCCTAGGGATACTACCAATATGATTCATGAAGTTCACCTTTGATACACCA